CCCATCCCTGTCCCTGGAGCTCCTCGGTTGCTGCCAGCTCCCAGTGCCAGGCTGCAGGAGGGGCAGCAGGGGCTGGAGCCTGCACTGCCTGCCCATGTCCGTGTGACACCCCAGCCCTGTGAGCCCTTCTGCTGCTTTCCCCACTCCCTTTGTGCTCAGAGGCCGGGAGCAGCAGGGGTCTACTGTCCCCTGTGCTGGGGCAGGCACTGACCTGCCACCTCGGCCACGCTCCCCTCCACCTCCTGTCCTGTCCCCACAGATACCATCACTGTTTTCACGGGCCAGTGCTTTGTGGATGATAATGGAGAGGAGGTTTTGAAAACCATGTGGCTGCTGAGGTCACATGAGGACAGCATCAAAAATGACTGGAAAGCCACCAGGTGAGCCCCCTGTCCCTGCCCTGCACAGGTCCCTTGTGCACCCCCAGGCTGGGGCTGTCACAAGTGAGTGTTTTAGGTTTCTTGCAGAGCCACTCTCACAGGTGTTGGCAAAAGCAGGTTTACTATCTGTTTGAAAGCACAGCTTAACAAATCTCGATGGCAGGGTTCACTTGATTGCTTTGTGCATGGGTAAAACATAGAAGGGAAAAAGACCATCCCTGGGGGTCCTGCCAAGGTGCAGATGTGGTGTGGTTATACAGGGCTGGGTGGGTGTTTGGACGCCGTCAGGTCCCTCCCTCACATGTCCTCTTCTGTGTCCCCACAGGGTGGGCTTCAACATCTTCACTCGCCCGAAGCCACTAGAGTGAGGGGGCAGCAGCAGCGCCAGGGCTGTGCCCCTGCTTCTGCAGCACCACCTGCTTCTCCCAATAAAGCTTTGCTGTAAAACACCCACAGTCTCCTGTCATGCTGTTGCAAAATGTGCGATAAATAAAATATTTCTTTAAATGTTTGTTCTTTGGTGTTTGAGACTTTTTATGCTTTCAAGCGTAATTGACAAGGAAGGACATTTAGCCTGTGAAACAGAGCAGCAAACAAGCTCTAAGCTGTGTGCAGGTGTTAGAAAGAGATCTTACTTGGCAGAATTGCCTTGTTAAGGTTTAGGTATTGATGGGCTTTAATGATCTCAGATCTGGGTGCAGGCTACAAAACTTGGGATGAACAATATACCACTGGTAATGGACACAAAGAGTGCAGAATCTACAAGACACTTGGCAGAACCCCCAAGATTATAAACTAATAAAGACAACTGGAAAAACTCAGTGCTGAAGCAGTTCTGACTGGGTAGAAAGCAAATTTTGGCAGAGATGGATCATGGATTATGGCCCACTGAGTCAAGAAACCTATCAACTCAAGAGAAGAGAAAGGCTGAGCCTGCAAATTAATTAGCATCAGATGCAAGAGAATTCTTAACCAATAGGAGAGAGAGTAGTAATTAATAAGAGAACTAAATAACTCGTTGCCAATCAACATTAATGCCTTTGTTTGCTAGATGTGCAAATAGCAAAATATTTTGATAGTTGGTTTGCTTGATCTTTGGAATAACACTGAGTACTTGGGCTTGTGGAACTAAACAAAAAAATCAGTGTCTCTCTTGGGTGTGTAATTACTGCCTTGTTATGCACCAGGTAACAAATCAAATTTTTCTGGACAACAGTGTCATGGCTCGGCCCCCAATGTGCAGGGGCAGGGAGAAATGAGCAGGGGCAGTGGAAAAATGAGCTGGGCTCCAATATGACCATCTTGGCCACAAATAAAGCTGAGACCTTCACAGGCTCCTGCCACACTGTAGTGGCAGCCACCCACAAGCAGATCCTGGTGTCACCCTTTTGAGGGATCTAGCAGCATCCAAGTGCCAAGAGACACCCCATCTTCAGCTTCACTGTGCAGTGGCAGCTCTCAGCTACAGCAGTGACAGTGACCCCCTGCCCATGCTGCGAGTGGGGACCCCCCTGTCTGGTGCCCCAAATTCCCTGTGGCACCCAGAGAAGCCCTGGCTGTGGGCACAGATGGGCCACATGCACACATTCCTGCCTTGGGAACTGGTGGTGGGAGAGTTTATCTGCGGTGGGTTTCAGGGCTGTCTAGAAGAGGTGATGGGGGTGCCTGTCTGTCTGTCCAGGGGGAGGGCCGATGCCCAGCTCTCTGTCCTGTGATGTGGAAGCAGTCCACCTGGCCAGTGTGGCAGGGAAGTCCAGGGCATGTTTGTCTGCCAGGACCTGGTGGCCCAGGCTTCCCTGTCTTGAGGTGCAGGCTCTCCCCCCACTCTGCCTCTCTCAAACCTTGCCAGACTCCACCACTGCCTCTGTGGGCTTCATGGATTACCAAGGGAAGGAGACACTGGAGACCCCGTGGCTCCTGCAGGAAGAGGTCCTGTGATACAGGGACACCTGGAAAGCCACAACGTGAGCTCTGTCCCTGCCATCTCATCCCACAGCCCTCCCTCCCACCCTGCTGACGCAGCTTCCCTGCAGACTCAGCACTTCCATCTTCACCCACACAAGTGATGGGAACAGGAAAGAGTGCTGCCTGCACCCTGCTGTCCTTCTGCATCCCGAGGTGTCCCAGCTGTCCCAGTCCCAAGCTGGGCTCTTAGCAAGGAAACAAGCTGGGTTCTTAGCAAGGAAACAAGCTGGGCTCTTAGCAAGGAAACACACCCTCGCTTTGCCCTGCTACTTCCCAGTGCCTCCCAGCCACCTGTTGGTGGGGCTCCCCATTCCCACACTTGCTGCTCTCCCACATGGAGCCAGATAAACTTTTCCCCACATGGCAGAGAGCTGTGTCCCTCATGTCCCTGGTGTACAGGCAGCCATGTGTGAGTGTCTCCCCATCTGGGGCCACAGGGAGAGCAAGGTGCTGGTTGGGGGGACAACAGGGAAGTGTTTTGGGGGGCATGGGAAAGCTGGGGTTGGGGGACAGCAATTCTGCTTCCTGATCATGGCTTCAGGCCTCAGCAGGGGCCTTCTTGCCTGTGCACTCATTTGGGGCATTCGCAGGGCTGGGTGGCTTCGGGGAGCGGCCCCAGTGTGGGGCAGCAGGACAGCCCACAGCTGAGGGTGAGGGTGAAAGCTGCATGCAGGCAAGCCAGCACTCTCCCCTGGCCTCATCTGCTGTCTCTGCACCCCCCTCTGCCCAGCCTCCCATCAAACTCCAATTCCAGCCACTGCTCCGCTTGACAGCCTCGGTGCTGTACGCACATATGAGGGAGAGCTGGCTGCCAGCCCTCACAGAGGGAAATCCGGGAAGTTGGGATGGTCCAAAATCCAGGCTGGATGCTGGGGGGATCGGAAGAGAGGCCTGGGACTCCAGGGAAGCTGCAGGGCAGAGCGGGTGGCTGAAGCCAGGTACTGCCGGTGTGCCTGTTGAATGTATGCGGGCACAATGTACTGACTGGCTGGCGCCTGATCAGCTGGGAGTGGAACAGGATATGGATCCTTTCTGGTGTTCATGTTCACAGGAGGTTATCTGAACACTAAACTTTCTCAGCTCCTTAGGAAAGGAAACAAATCAAACAAGGGTCCAATGCCCTTTGCACCGGTCTGACACTACAATTCACTAATCCATTATTTCAGCAGCTCATGAAGTTTCCAACTCATTAGTTACATAATCCAGGATGCACAGCTCCTAACTGCTGCTCCTGAGCACCACGGGGAGAAGCTGTGTGGGCAGGGAGGGGTGCAAAGGGTGTGAAGGACAATGCTGCCTGGTGGCTGCAGGGCTGCAGGGGCAAGAGACTGATGGAAGGGGCAGAAAGCACACAGTGCCCCGAGAAGGTGTCAGTGCCTGTCAGCCCTCCTCTTCCTCTCACAGTGTGCCTGTCCTTCCCCAGCCTCCCTCAGCCTTTGCTCTTTTCCTGCAATCCCTGCTGGGTTCTGGGGCTGCCCACAGAGCACACAGACCTGAGACTCTGCAGGGGAAGCTTGTACTGACTGACCACTGGTTGATGTGCCTGGTGGTCCAGCTTTTGGTCAAAAGTCACTGTGCCTCCTCATCCTCACCCTTGCTCCCTCATCCTCGTGCCTGCATTCTGCACAGAGCCCTCAGTTCATCCCCACTGATCCTTGGCACTGCCCTGGTCGTGCTGGGGTTGTTCTCCTGCTTCCCCTCCCCAAACACCCACTGCGGCTGTCACCAGCACCGTGAGCACCCAAAGACTTCTCTGAGTGGTCTGTGAGGTTAAAGCCTTGGGACCCCAGTGTGAGTGGGGGCTGAGGCTGGGAGCCCTGCACAGCGGGGCACAAGGCCACTGACAATCATGTTGGCCCAGGACATGAGATTTAATTTAATTTCTGTCATTTCATTACCCCAACAACTACAAATTCCCTGGCTCCTGGTTCCTCCCAAGAAGGCAGCCAGGGGGACAGAGAATGATTGTGCTTGCTTAATAAGAAAACCGAAAGTAAAACTGTAGAGTTTTATGAAAAATCAGCACTGGGGGCACCACCCCCTCTGTATCACAATCTGTGTTTGTCAGCTGATTCTCACATCCGGCCCCTGACCTTGGTGTGATCCTGCCCTTGCAGTGACATTTCATTTTCCTTTTCCTCTTGCCTGGCACATGCAACCTGGGCTGCTCACCTCCAGCCTCAATGCCCTGCTCGGAGGTTTTCCTACTGCTGTTGGGGCCAGTTTGCTTCATTCACCTCCCAGTTCCCTGGACCCAATGCAGATCACCTGCTGTCCCTGCCCACATGCCTTGCCCAGTCCTCATGACTCTCTGTCCTTCTGTCCATCCCTTGCGGTGACCAGAGGGTGCTTTGGGACACAGGAGCTCCAGCAAGGCAGGATGGAAACTTAGACCCAGCCCTCAACCAGCAGACATGGGACTAAAGACCCCCAGGCTGGGTGATGTCAGTGGGCAGCCCCACACAACCCCTCCTGCGTTCCTGTTCTGCCAATACCCATTCCTGTGTCCATCCCTGTTCCAGTCCGGCTGCCTATCTCGATCCCTGCCTCTAATCCCTGCCCTGTCCCCATCCCTCCCATCCTTGCTTCCATCCCCATCCCTGCCCCTGTTCCCGTCCCCATCCATGTGCACATCCCCCATCCCTCATCCTTGCCCCCACCCCAGTTCCCGTTCCCATCCCACCACAACCTCTTCCTGTCCTCATCCCCAGCCCTGTGCCCATTCCCGTCCGTGCTCCTGTCCCTGTCCCCACACCTCTTGCCCTCCCTGTCTCCTTCCCCTTCCTTGTGCCAGTATCGATTCCTCCCTCATGTACGACCCGAGGCTTTCCCGGAAAGCAGCGGCGGAGCCGAATATAAGTCCGTGACTCACGGGCACGGCGCGATTCCCCGCCGCCGCCGCATCCCGAGCTGCATCCCGATGAGCCGCCTTGTCCTCTCCGCTCTCGCCCTGCCCGCAGGGGTGTCCCTGGCCGCTGCTGCCGCGGGCTTCCAGGTGGGAGCTCCTGCGTGGGAAACTCGGCTCCGGGGCAGCCTGGGTGGGAGCACGCCTGGGATCCCGGTGTTCGGGGAGGGACACGAGTGGGAGAGTCGCCGGAGAGGGGGGATATGGTATGGGAGCTGCAGCGCTTGTTAGGGATGGGACACGCGTGGAAGAGCCATCTGCGGGAGGAACACTCGGCAACAGGAGGATTCCCTGCTCCAGCGGGTACCCAGACGGGAAACCCTGCTGAGGGAGATGAGGGAAGTGATGCTCCAGGGTAGTCCGTGTGCCCGAGAGGGATGTGCATGGAGATTCTTTCCCTGTTGCAGGAGCCATGGATGTGGAAATCCCCCACTTCCCTCCCAGGGATTTGGAAGGGAATTGGGGCAGGGGAAGCGTGGGGACCCTGCTCCAGGGGCTGCCTTGCCCCTGCCTCAGACAGTGCAGTGCAGCAGAGAGCAGGCAGCGCTTAGAACTGCAGCTGGGATGTGCAGGGCTCTGCCTGAGATGGAGCCCACTGTGGACCTGAGGGCTATGCCCATCCCAGAGAGCTTCCCAGGCTCTGCCTGAGATGGAGCCCACTGTGCACCTGAGGGCCATGCCCATCCCAGAGAGCTTCCCTGCCGTGCTACACGTGTGCTGATGGGCACAGCACAGGTACCCACAAACACGGGCAGACGTGCCCTGGACTCACACAGCTCACCTGCCAGGGCTACAGCAGAGATCCCACCCATGTTCCTGCCTGTCCAAGGATTCCACCGTTTACTTTTCCTCTTCACCTCTCCCCGTTGCTTGGCTTACCCCAGCTTTTGGCCCTCTTGATGTAGCGATAGCAGCAACTTTATGAATCAAGTATTTTAAAAATGAATGCTCAAGCACTCTCAGGACTCCAGAAACACTCTGCTGTGCCACCATCCACACCTGACCTGTGTTTGTGTTATTTTCCAAGATCTTCTGCCAGGAAATTGAGCACCCTGGGGAGAAAAAGGCCAGCAAGAAGGAGACAACCATGGGGGAGAGCAGAAGGCATATCAAGGTGAGTGCCAGCACCCCGAGGGCATTGGGGGGTGTGGGCAGGGCTGTGTACAGGCAACCCCCAGGGACACGTCTGCTTGTCCCCAGCCGTGCAACCTGACTGGTTGGTGGAAGAATGACCTGGGCTCCAAGATGCAAGTGTTCAAGGTCGGCAAGGATGGAACCTTCTCTGGAGAGTACCACACCGCCGTGTCAAGCACCCAGAAACCCATCCAGCCGTCCCCATTGACTGGCTCGCAGCACCTGGATGAGGATGGACAGTGCACCTTTGGCTTCACTGTCAACTGGAAGAAGTTCTCTGGTCTGTGGTTGCATGATGGATGTTGTGGGATGGAATGGTGGGATGGAGAGGGGAGCTCAGGCAGGCTCCAGTGCTCATCCCAGTTCCTCTGTTCACTCTGCTGGCCCCTGTCTCTCCTTCCTTGACCTCTCCCCACTGTGCATGGTGTCTGCAGACAGCAGTACACCTCCCAGAACAAGGTCTGGGTGAGGCAGCACCAAGGGTTGTTCTGACAACACCTCTGCCACACACATTTCCCTGAAAATATCAGGATTCACTCAGGCTCCATGGGCACTAAACTCACCGATGCCTGGGAAGTTCCAAAATCAGCTGGGGTCCTGCTGGGATGCTGACAGCCACCACTGCTTTAGACTCCACAGCTGTGTTTGTGGGCCAGTGCTTCAATGGGGATGATGGGAAGGAGGTCCTGCACACCTCCTGGCTGCTGCGGGAGAAGGTGGACTCGCAGCCGGATGACTGGAAAGCCACCAGGTGAGCCAAGGAACCCCCAGTCCACCTGGGATCCCTGGGATCCCTGCCCTGCTGCTGGCTGGGCACCAATGAGAAGCTGCTTCCCCACAGGACTGGGCACAACACCTTCACTCGAGTGGGATGAAGGAGGGAGCAGCATCTTATCCTGGCCACACCTGGGAGACTGGAACCGTGTGTACCAGCATGCCCTGATGTTTCCAGCTCTGGAGGAAGATATCCCAAAAAACACAAAATAAAATTAAAGATATTTAAACACAGCCTTGTGCAGTCTGTGGATATGTCCTGGAAAAGCTGGGCTAAAACACAGTGGAAGGTGGGTGTGGGATGAAACTCTCATTCCCTTATTCTGGGAAGAGACTAGCCCCAAGAAAGCCCCCTTTCCAGCCCAAACAGGATGGTGCATCCCCAAAGTAACCCTCTGACACTAGCTGTGACCACCACTCACTCTTTCCTGCTGAAAGCCTGGTGAGTGTGTGGGGAGGGTAAGCTGAGCAGCTCTTCTGCATCCCAAAAACCTGGCTGGGAGGCCTCTGGCTCTGACACAGCCCCTGAGCAGGCAGGCGAGGGGCCTTGGCTGTGTCCACACTCCTGAGAAGTGCCAAGGGCTGCTCTGTACCAGCCACACAGCGCCAGTAGCTGCAGTACACCCAGCCCAAAACTCCTTCTGGGAAATGTGATTTACTGAGAAGCTAATGGCCAGCAAATACAGCCTCCCAAACCTCTGCCCAATGGACTGTGTGACTGACCAAAACAGGAAGTGCCTGTGCTGCCTTAGGCACCCCTCTGAGCCAAAGAAAATGATTTCCAGGAAATCAGCTCTTGGTCTGAATACGAAACTTAGTCCTTGTGTCTTTGATTCTCAAAATAACCCGGCACAGTGCTGCATGCCCTGAGCTGGCACACTGCCTGGGATTTGATGAATTTAAAAGTAGGACTGGGCTGCTGGGGCTGCCACCCCTCTCTGCTCCCCTGGCTTTTCTGCCACAAGTGCTGTGGGTGGGAGAGCTTTGCTAACAGCACCTGTGGCTTTAGCAAGTTTGCCTGGTCTGTGTTTTCAGCTGCTGTGTTGCAAACTCACATGTGGTTTGCTTCTCACATCTTTCTCCCTGGGGCTCATCTTCCGCTTCCAGAGCAGTGCTGCTGTTCCCTTCTCCGTGCCTCGCTGGCATTTCTCCAGCTTTTTCCATTCCCTTACAGCATTTCTGACCAGAATGTCTTTACACCAACCCTCTGCTGTGCATTTATGTATCTGCACAGCTTTTTACCTGCTTTTAGAGGAGTCTGAGAAGTGGGAAAGTGAGGGACCACAGGACTCTGCTCTCACCTGAAGTGTGACCAGCTCAGCAGTGAGGTGCCTGCTAAGCCTCCAGCCTCACTGCACGCATCCTCCTGACCTCATCATTGCCTTCATGCCAGCATTTCCCCAAGGCAGGGCTCTCCCGAGGCTGTGCAGCACTCCCAGGGTGCTTCAGCCAGGCAGCACTGCTGACCACAGTTGGAGCATCCTGCAAACCCCAGCAGGCAGCCACAGTGCTGCCAGGACCACGGCAGGCATGAGCTGGCACAGCGATTTCCAAGGCCTGTCCCTGCATCAAGGCACCCAGCCTGGCTGCAACACACACCTGGCACACCTCGGGTTTGGGGTGACAGCTGATTGGACCCAGGGGTGCCTGGGAGTGGTTAAGGATGGGGATGTTTCTCCATGGACATTTGGCACCCCTCAGCTCTGAATTTTGTTCAGCTGCAAACCTGCTCACGGTGTTGATCTGCAAACCTGGCACCATTTGTTCCCCTCATCAGCAAGGCAAATGTGAGCAGGGCTTCTCCTTCAGCCCCACTGCAGGAAAACCCGCTGCTTCTGCTGCATGGCAAGCCTTGATCAGGGTCCTTCACACATTGTGGATGCCTCCAGGGACAGGGGGAGCCAGTGGAGGCAGCGAAATCACATGGGCATGGCTGCGTGGCGCAGCTGTTCACGCATGTATTTTATCAGTTAAAAAAACCCAAAAAATGAACTTATTAGGATCTTGGCACGGGGTGATGCTTGCATAAGGATCAAATCCATTCAAGCACTGAAGTCACTGTTAGAATGGAGAAGGAGCTTCAACTGCAGGGGTCCCCCAGCACTGACATGTCTCAACCACATGTGGGAAACTGTCCTGCGCAACCGTTTCTGCGGGGACTGCTCCTGTCAGCCGTTTACAAATGTCTCAATGCTGAAATTCTTGGTGCCCAACATCTCCCAGGGCAGCTGTTGGCCCCTCCTAAGCAGAAGGATGCAGGAAATTCCCAGATCATTCAAGAGAATGCATGATTGGTAGGTTGGGTGTACCAAAACCTGGTACCCTCCACTCTGCAGCAATGACAAACGAGTAAATTTTATTTTCAAGCCATAACTTCACTGATGAGTGGAGACACGTAGCTCCCATCTCCTCCACCACTTCTACATGGTTCTCTGGCCAGGATCACACATTGTTCTCTGCTGTTTTGACTCTCTCCACAGCCCTGTTCCAGCTGTAGCCTTGCCAGCCACAGACTGCCATCCTGAGAGAATGGAGGAACTCCTTAGTTATGTTCTCAGCCCTTCCTGGGTCTGGTTTGGAACCAGGGCACCCTCCCAGATGTGTTTTGCCTTCCCACCCTACAGATGAGCTCATCAAATATGTCAGTATAACCTTTTGTGTGGATGAGGAACCTGCAGCTTGTCCAGCTTGCCCTACACGGCTTAGGGGGTTACTCACTTCTGCCACCCTGCCCAACCCAGGCTGTGCTGTGGCACCGGGGCTGAGTCCCCACCACTGCATGGCACCCTGACCAGGCAATGACTGATCTCAGCTCCAATGTAACTGTGAAAAACGCCAATCACTCATTTTTAAAATTTTAAAAGTTTCATAGTAATAAAATGGTTATAAAAATAGTAATACAATTAGAGTAATTGTATTATTAACAATAATTTGGACAATTTGAATTAGGACCGTATGAGACAATAGAGACAAAGGGTTACAGATGTCTGGGTGCCTTTTTCAGTGCAGCACAAGCCTGAAAAAGGACCTCCATTAACAAAGGATTAACTCTTAAAAACAATAGCTTGCTGCATATCCATGCACCTCATACATGATGCATAAATTCCATTCAAACACAAGATTCTGTCTGGTCATCGTCAGCTTCTTCCTCTGAATCCTAACAGTGCCTTTGAGGTGGGAAGAAGTTCGTTTCTACTGACAGGAGGGCAATAAATTATTTTTCTCTGAAAGATTTAGGTGTCCTGTGGCTGCTATTTTGCTGCAAGTCCTTTCTTTAAAAAAAGTATCCTACATAGCATAGTTTCTATTTTAACATTTTGTTATAACCCAAAACTGTATTTAACACACTGGTTAAGAGAATTGATACAGCATTACTTTCTAACACAACACATACATTATTCATTTTAATATTTGTGAAAAGCCAATCATAAAATACTCATTTTTCACATAACCGTCTTGGCTGTGAGCAGAAAAGGCAACCTCACTGGCTGCTGCCACACAGCATGAACGAGGCCTGGGTGTCTCTGCTGCAGGTGACACACTCGATGAACCAGCAGAGCCAGCCCACCTTCAGCTGTCAACTGGAGCTTTTCAAGAGCTTCTCCTTTCCCAGCCTCCCTCTTGTATTTTCAGAGCTCCTCTAGTGTCCACTGGATGACCTTGGAGTATCCCTGCCCTTCCTGTGATGTCCAGCTCAGCTGGGCTCATGCCACCATGCTCTGCATATCCCATGCCTGTTCAAGGTCCCACAGGACAGGAGGCTTGGGAGGGAAACATCACCCACCCACAAGGAGCCTTTCCCACTGACAAACTGGGTGCCTGAGAGGGACAGCCCCATCCCATCCCATCCCATCCCATCCCATCCCATCCCATCCCATCCCATCCCATCCCATCCCATCCCAGACTGCAGACTCCATCACCGCCTCCATGGGCAAAGCTTCACAGACTAGGAGAGAAAGGAAATACTGAAGGGACCACATGGATCATGCAAGATGAGGCTGACCTGCTCGAGGATTACTGCAAAGCTATTGGGTGGGCTGCAGGGAACTGTCCATCCTTGCTCTGTGCTGGTGCTGCCCCTGTGGGTGTTGGATGGAGCCCACAGGGGAGTGCCAAGTCCTGGGTGCTGGGACCCAGCTGGGCAGCAAGCAAGGGAGAGCAGTGTCAAGACCCCAGGGGCTTTTGCAGCAAGTCCCCAGGTTGGGAGTTGAACACAGCCCTATAATTTTTTCATTAAATCAAAGTGCAATTTGAACCTAGGATCCTGCTCCCTGAGGAAGAGGAAAGTGGGTTTCCTTGTCTTCAGGCCCAAGAAAGATGAAAAAGATTGTCAAAGCAGGTCTCATCCCTTGTGCTTGGGCAGGGGCCAGAGAGGCACCTCTTGATCTGGACACAGCCAGATGCTACTCCTATCTTCCACGCATGCAGTGACATGTTCACCTGGTCAGAGTGGTGTCTCAGGGGATGTGTCCCTGTGCAAATGCCAGGCAGTCTGAGCACCTCCATTACAGTATTGCACATCAGGAACTCCTTGGGAAGGGTGAGACAGGACCCTGCCCAGCCTCAGAGCATCATGCATATGGCATGTACGGCAGGCACCGTGCACAGAACACACCCTCCCACAGGAACAATCGAATTTTGACATCTACATTTCTTCCAGGAAAGCCCTTCTGCACTTGCAAGAATGGCTGATTCAAGAGTGCCTGCTGCAGTGACAGTCTTAGGTCCCAAACCCGAGGGAAGCCCAGCACAGCCAGGAGGAAAAACAGTTTAGAAGGAGCAGCAGACACTCACAATGCAGGAGGAGAAGGTGACAGGGATGAGCCCTGCGGGCATTCCCATCACCAGCCAGCGCAGCAGGGCACAGCTGGCCGGACTGCTCTCACTCCAGCCTGTGTTTAGGTGGCAACACGGGTTGGGTGGCAGTGGGACAGCGTCAGGCCGTGTCCCCCCCCAGGCCTCCAGCATCGAGCCAGGAACGGGGTCGGCGGAGCCTCTTGGACAGTGGCTGTGTAAATCATCCCTGCATCCCCAGCTCCCTGCGCAGCCGTGCTCATCGCCGCGTTCCTCCGGCGCTGCCCAGGTCAGACAGACCTCGTCACCTCCCCTGGCCTGGGCACGCTGACATCAGGACACTCAGGCCTCAGCTGCCAGCCGCCGTGGCTCCGGTTACAGCTCTATAAAGGGGTTTGGGATGCAGGCAGAGAGGCAGCTGGGCCGGGCATTTCGCAGCCCCGCAGCCATGGAGGGCGGTGCCTTCATCCTGGTCCTCGCCCTCGCCGTGGCCCTGGCAGAGAGTGCTGCTCCTGCAGAGAGGAAGGTACGGGGATGGGTGACAATGGGAGCGTGGCAGACACGGCAAGGGCATGCAGTGTGGGCAGCCAGGAGCTCTCCCTTAAATGCCATTTTAGACTTAGACAAACCTTGCAAGAACCAAGTCCAGGCAGAGGGCGAGGTATCCCTGGATCACCCTCAGCCACCTGGTACCACCTCCAGAAGTATTTGTTCCCACAAGGGAGCCATGCACAGGGCATTCCTTCCCTTGGGATTTGTGCCTGGGAGCACCATGCCTGTGGCATCCCCTTGATATCTGGGTCTGTGTCTGGGTGTACCCTGCACGCTGCCCAGCTGGTATATTCTGGCCTTGCTCCACCATCCCCTCAGCAGCACCCTGGGGCAGCATTTGCCCTGAGTGGGATTAGGGAGAGCCAATGCCCTGCAGCTGCCCTCACAGCAGGGCTTTGGCTCCCCCGGTGTGGGGCAGCAGCAGGGATGAGGTCCCTCTGCATGTGGGGGCACAGAGAGGATGTGGCTGTGTTCCTTCAGTGCCAGCTCAGCGGACTGTGGACGAATGACCAGGACTCACAGATGGAGATTTCAGTGCTGAGGGACAACGGGGACTTCCATGGACAATACCTCACACGAGTCACCCTCTCCGGGAGCTGTGCCCAAGTCTCCCCACTGAGGGGTGCCCAGCAGCAGCTTGGAGGGGAGGGCTGGCCCACCTTTGCCTTCACTGTGCGCTGGGACAAGTTCTCCAGTAAGTGCTGGGACACCTGGAGATGGCATGGCAGTGTCAATGGAAGCTTGCAGCCAGCAGGAATTTTCTTTCACCAGGAATTCAGCTGGGTGATGCTCTGGTGCAGCTAAGCAGCAACAGCTGCAGGGCATGGTGCTAAGGGGCAATGCTGGGCTTGAACAGGGGAGCCTCTCCTCACCCAGCATCCTTGGGGCACCCGCGGTGGGTCCAGACCCTGTTAGCACAACTGGGATGTAGTGCCACAAATCCTGCCTTGCCTGAGGGAGCCACAGGGAAGGAACCCCCAGCATGGGTTTGGTGGTTCTGTGGCCATTGGAGCAGGAACACAGCTGTGTCTGGGAGGACATGGGGGAACGGAAGAAGCCAGTTTCCCCACAGATCTCCCAATAAGTGCTTCCCCCCAGATGCCACCACCGCCTTCGTGGGGCAATGCTTTGTGGATGCAGGCGGAAAGGAGATGCTGAGCACCACGTGGCTGCTGCGTGAAGCTGTCGGGTCCCTTGAGGAGGACTGGAAAGCCACGAGGTAGTGGGGGGATATGGGCAACACCAATGCCACAGAGGGGTCTATCACTGGCTGGGCGTGTACATACAAATCACAAAAGGGATGGGACTGTTGTGGAAGATGCTTTGAGCTGTTTTACTTTTCAGCATCAGTCTCATTACATGGTTATCACAATGGGAAGATGCCATCAGCTCACATCTCAGACAGCAGACTAAGAACTTAGTGTTACAACTTACTTTAAAAGTTTTTTCACCATTCACACAAAGCAAAAGCACATTGACAGTAGTTCTATCCAACCACTATAAGCACATCTACCTTTGGTTAAAACAATGCTTGCTTATTTCGAATACAATACCTGCTTGTAAGCCTTAAAACACAATGCACAGAGCTCCATATTAAGCTTCAAATTTCTTAATATCTTACTAGATAAACTTTTCTGTAGCTTAGGGAGTTATTCTAGAAAGCGTCAATACACAAACCATTGTTCTATGTGTCTTTGCTTTTCTTCTTTTTAAATAATTTTTCTGCTGACCTATCTTATGGCTACTGCTTAGCTCTAATCACAGTTCCACTGTCTCTGAGGCCTGCCTTTTGCAGCTTTCCCAAAACCTTCTGATTTTGTAGATTCCCACAGGCTCCTCGCTGGAGGAAACCTGGGGGGAATTCAGGGACACCCCATCACTGCTGCAAGCCCTGGCAGCTCTGAGTGGGCAGTGTCTGTGGGTCATCCTACAGGAGCTCTCATCTTCTCACAGGGTGGGCAGAAATGTCTTCTCACGCAAACGCACCCCAAAAGGAAAGATCCTGCCGAATTCGTCCCCTCTCTGTGAGGCTGTGTCTTTACCAGGCCCGTGATGGGATGATCTGGCTGCAGCCTAACCCCCAACAAGGCAAGAAAAACCTGCCTCCCAGCTGAGAATAAAATTTAAAAATTATCTGCTGTTGCTGCCTTTTCTTAGAGTCTGTCCTTGCTACACCTTCTGTCCCCAAAGATGCCCCTGCTGAGGGGAGGATTCACCATTGCCCCTCTGCAGGGACACCTGCATGGCTCCCTGATCCCACCCATTTGCCTCCCTGGGCTCATTTCCCGTCTCATTAAACCCAAACTTCCACCCTGTGTCATCATTCCCCACCTGCCTGATGGTGGCAGCAGCAGCACCCCGAATTCAGCTCACTTCCTTGCAGCGCCTTCATATCCATTCCCACTAGACCCTTTCCAGCACTGGGAATCCGTGTTCTGTTGGATTGGGCAATGGAGGCAGCATTATCAGTAGATTTGAGATACTGATTAACTTTGTGCTGCATGGCACGTCAAATAAAATATGCACAAGTTTAAGACCCCATCCCACCCCATTCCATCCCTCTGGGTTACACTCAGGGATTTTCCCTTTCTCTACCATTGCATTTTGGCAGAGTCTCTCTTTTTGCCTCTGTGGACACCTGCCAAGCTTAGTCAGCTCTTTTGGCACAAAGCTTTTGGCAGGTCCGTGGGTGAAGAAAAAGCCTCTTGCAGACGTGTTATGAAAATACCTCAGTCCCAGGGATGACAGCGCTGCAGCTGCACAGTCCATTAAGCCTGGCCCAGCTCTAGCAAAGCTGTAGCATGGTGTCATGAAGTGGGGGGAAACCTGGCACCACCCTGGGATCTATAACAAGCTGGCCTGTCCCTGCCAAACATCACAGAAAGGCAGGAGCTGATGTCAGGCCAAAAGAACAGAGTGTGGCATCCAGGACAACAGCAAAAGACTCCACAGGGGGAATTTCTATGAGTACCTGTGATAGGCCATGAGTTTGGGACTGAAAAAGACAAAGAGGAGGGATATGTTAGGAGAGGGCTGTTTTCCACTCAGCCCAGCATTTGAGGTTACCTAGATGGGAGAGACCTGCTCTGAGCGCAGGGGGCCCGGACGTGCCAGGGCTAGCAGTGGGCACTGCGAGGTGCCACCCCAAAGGGGCGCTGCCCCACCCCCAGTTTGCACACTGCAGCCCTGTTGCCATGCCCTGCCCCAAACACTGTTGTCTTGAACACAGCAGGTCTTGATTCAGCTGAGTCCCACCTGAATTTTCAGTTGCCACAGCCATATGCCTGCTCCAGGCATCACAGCAAAGGCACAGCTCAGGAAGACAGGGACAGTGCATGCTGCATACTGCACATCAAAGGTCCTTTAGAGCAGCCAATACAAGAAGTGTGAATACAATGCTGGTTATCACACTCTGTGTGTTTAGCAAACACACTCATTGGGACCTCAGTAATGTTGCTGTGGTTAATTCTTCCTCTAACTCTCACAAAAGTAAAAGCAAAAGCATCAAAATCAGCAGCTGACATCCAGAAAAGGCTGGAGAAATGTTACCGCTTCTAAAATTAGTAAACTTTCCCTTCTGTGCAGCGCTGCAGCATCCTCATCAGGTAGTGGCAGCAGCAAAGCAGGGAGGGGGTAAATGTTGAAATAGGTGGTAGTTTCCAGCCTTTGTGCATGGGAGGCAGATTCCCAAAGAAGGCATTGATGCTTTCCAGGCTACTATAGAGCCTTATAAAAAACTTGTGTCCCCACTCCTCTGCCCAGCCGTGCTTATTCCTGCATTCCTTCAGCCATGACCAGGTCATGCAGACCTGCCCATCTCCCTCGCCTGTCCCGGGCACCCTGACATCAAGCCATTCATCTCACAGCTGCCATCCTGGTGCTGGTGGGGCTCCAGTTACAGCCCTATAAAGGGCGCCGGGCTGCAGGGCTGGGAGGAGCTCTTAGCAGCCTTGCAGCCATGGGGAGAAGTGCCTTTGCCCTGGTCCTCGCCCTTGCCCTGGCAGTGTGTGTTGCCCCTGCGGAGAGGAAGGTATGGGGACAGATGACAGTGGGGATGTGGGGCTGACATCCTGCTAGACCCCAAAGTCTGCTGCTGGGGGACCATAGCTCAGCTGGGAGCCAGGGCTGGGCTGCTGGATCTGGTAGGAACAGCACTGTGCTGCACTGAGGGAAGCTGCAGGGAGGCTGGGAGGACAGGACTGCTCCTGCAAGGATGCTGCTTGCTGTGGGAAGTCATTCAGATGAAGGCAAACAGAGCCATACCCCTGACAGCTCTTGTTTTCCCTCCCAGAGAGTAGGGGAAACAGTGCACCTGCTGCTTGATCATGGGGGTCTCACTCTCCCTTCGGTGGGTGAAACCATCCTGGACAGTGGCTGAGCTGGATTACAGCTCAGGCACGATGCTTACACTGAGATGGTGATGCCAGTGGCACATCAGGTCCGTGGCACACCACCCACTGCTGCAGACATCTCTGGGCAGAGCCAGGGTGAACGGGTGGGAGCAGGATGCTCCCCCCTGTCCCTCCCTCCAACCCACAGCCCTGGCCTTGCAGTGCCTTCTCTCTGGGTCGTGGCGGAGCGACACCAGCTGCCAGATGGTTGTGTCCACCCTGAACAAGGACAACAGATTCTCCGGTTTTTACCAGCCGGGACCTGCTGCTGGCTACCCAGAACTCCTCACCTCACCATTGGAGGGGTCCCAACAAGATACAGAGCTGGTCCCACAGCCCACCTTCTCCTTCACTGTGAACTGGAAGCTCCAAGGTAGGCAGCAGGGGGACGTCATCCTGCAGGCAGGGATGCCAGCAGGACTCAGGGTGACCTTGTGCCTCTCTACCTGACTCACACCATCTTAAACCCTTCCAGACTCAGAGACTGCCTGGACAAGTGTCTTCCTGGGCCAGTGCTATGTGGACCCCGAGGGGAAGGAGACCCTACATGCCCTGTGGCTCCTGCGAGAGGCAGCTGATAGTCCTGCAGAGGACTGGAAAGGCACCCGGTGAGTGCTGGGTCCCAGCCACTGCTCTGCCAGGGTCTTCTGCAACTCAGGCTGGAAAAGGGAGAAATCTCACAGGATGAAGCATGGGAGGACCATGAGGGTGGAATGCGTTTGTCACCAGTGATATGCAAGGGCTATGGAGCATCTGTGTAACGTCGTCCACCCCTGCATGCCAGAAGTGCCTCAGGGTGGGGGATCCCTGGATGGGCTCTGGCTACAGAGAGCCCTCTCTGGAGCTTTCTTTCCACTCTCCACAGCAGGAAGAGAAGATAAAGCTGCCAGCACCTGGCACAGCCTCTGCTACAGGCCGTTGGAACCTGCAGTACCTCAGTCAGCCACACAGTGTTCCCCCTGGGCTTCCCCTCTACCCTCCACAGCATGAACGACCCCATCTGATTTGGTGTTTTCTGCAGGGTTGGCACCAGCACCTTCACACGGATAAAATGACAGCAAATGGGAAAATCCAGCAGGCTCAAGATTGCGAGGAGTGCCTAGACAGACTTTGCCCTCACCAACATGCTGCACTTGAGGTGCAACCTCAGCCCAGAGGTTCGTGCTTTCTTAGGCAAGTTCACCAGATGCAAAATAAAGGGTTTCTGTGGGGATGCAGGGCTTGGCTATGTCTTCTGCCCTGCCTCAAATTTGTGGGGTTTGTGTCACCCAGCAGCCACCCTCTCAGATGGGAGGTTGTAGAAGTAAAGGGAGCGACCCATCTTCCTTGATAAGCATCTGACTCCGATTTATTGATCAACCAGGCACTTTTTATAACGTGTTAATTCACTTCATGCATATTGCAAAACCTGAGCTCTCGATAGGCTGTAGAGAAAACTTCAGCTCCTCCTTTTGTTTACAGTACCTGAAGTTTGTTTATTGAAACTAAGATCAGTGTTCTCACCATGATATGAAAGGTTCTCAAAACCTTTATATCTGTTCTCAGAATGGCCATCTGTTCCCAGAGCAGCCAAGGACAGAATATTGCTTGTTTTTGAGGAAACGGTCTGAGAATCTTGTTGTTTATATAAAAGGTGGCTGAGAACCTTAATTATTTACAGAATCAAGCCTGGGAAAGGCTGCTTTACAGCAGGCTTCTATCTTTCCCTCAGCTGAGCACCTTCATGGCCTCTTTCTTTAAGCCATGTTTGAACCAGGCTCTCCACAGGAGGTTTCATGCTGCACCGAGACTGAAAAAAGACAAGGCTGAGGCCAGCTGAGGCCCTGGGGATGGCGACTGTCCCAGCTCCCCTCCCTGGCAGTGTGCAGCAGGACTGTGCCTGCAAACCTGATGCCATGCTCCGGGTAACATGTCCCTAGGGGTCACTCCCAGATGTCCCTAGAGATGGGGGACAAACTGGGCTGTGACCAGGGAGAAGGAGTACTGCAGAGCCTTCCCGCGGGAGCCGAGCACGGGGACCTCTCGGGTGCCCGAACGCCCGAACGGGGCGCTGCAAACGACTCCAGCAGAGCCGTCAGCCTCCGGTTTCCAGTCCCGGCGGATGCGCAGCCCTGGCCGGCTGCCAGCTGCCCTCCCATCCCAGGCCCGGTGAAAGATCCCAAATACCCCGCCCCGAGAGTCCCGTCGGCACGGCTGTGTCCCCCGAGGAATGCACGGGGGTGTATCTTCAGCAATAATGTCTCCAAGGAAAGAGAACACGGGAAGGGCACATCTGGCACTGGCTGGATTTTTTTAGCCGTCACAGCCCGACCTCTCTGCCTTAGACACTTTGCCAAAGTTCTCCTAACACGACTCCTGGGGGTTCAGCAGGCCCAGGGCTGAGGTGCCCAGCTGTGAGAGCTGGAAGGAGGCAGTGGTTCCATCACTGTATTTCCAGCTGCTTTTTAAACCAGTTTTCAGATGTTAGTTTTTCTGTTTCCACCAATATCCAGCAGCTGGTGCTAGTGGATAAAAATAGGATGGATGATGACACAGGATTTAGATTTCCCTTGAAGAGGTGGATATATCTTGTTTCTGCTACTGACTGAATTTTCCATCTCTGTGAGAAACCCTAATTCATTTTTTTTAAAAGGGCAAACCTGATTTGTTTAAAGCCACAATGAGGAAGTGTTTAGTATT